GTTTTTATAGGTTATAATATTAAAACTTGCTTTTATCTTATAATCTATATTGCAATACAAGTATCTTTGTAATACTATTTTTTTCTAAACTAGTATTTATTCTAAGTATCTATATAGTCAATTTCTTTACTTGATTATTTCTTCTGTAATATTTGTAATATCCATTATTCATATTTCCAAATCTGTTATTAGTCACCAAAATATTTATTTTTATTTTAAAGAAAAAGGTGTTATTATATCTTATAAATATAATCAATATTTAGAAAAGAATCTTGAGTGTTGAATTCTTTCAAATATTGTATATTGTGGTGAATGTATAAAAAGTATGGGTAGTAGTTGTTGTAATATATATAGCCATTCTGCTAGTGACTGGTTCTGTGTTAATTCCAAAAAAGATTATTTTTGTTGCAAGAAGGAAGAGGCTATAGCTAAGATTCTTCGATTTTGTTGCTAGTAGTGAGTTTTGTGAGAGAAAGCTAGAAAGATGCTTCAGTATAACCTTCACATTATTAAAGCTTTTGAAGAATTTGAAGCTGAGAAGTAGTAATTAGAGAATAAGCATATTGAAAAAGAAAAGGAACAGATCTCTAATTCTTCTGTTGTTGTTGACAATAACTCTTTTGCTTTTGATTCTTTATTGCCTCTACTATCTAATACTAAAATTGAGATTTTATTAATAGATATAAATATTTTAGATAGAATATCTATAATTTCTTAGGGCAGCTAAGATTCTTTTTGAATTCCTATATATTTTCTGAATATAAATAATCTAGCTATTTAATTAAATACTTAATTTTATTTCTAACATATTTACAATCTAATATTGTTTTAATATTGTATATAATATTGAAATTGATTGATTCAATTTCTGTGAATAGTGTATTCAGTATTTCTAGTGGTATTGATTTGAATAAGGATATATGAAATACTAAATGAATATTCATTATATCTAATAATTTTAATTGATAGTTAACTGTTTTTATTACCTTATCAATCTTAAATAATCCTAGTTTTCTATAATTGAATTTATTACTTAATCTTTTGATTTCAATATTTCATTGTAATAAATAAACTTTATCCCCCTTTTTAAATATAGATTCCATATTATGTTTTATATTGTAATACACTACTATTCTAAATAATATAAATCTTAGATTAAAAATAAACTACTTTTGTAAATCTTTTAATTATTTGATTTATATTATTACTGATTTGGTATTAATTTCTTATAATATTGGAATTTTATAAGTTTAAGAATTAAATCCAAAATTAGCCCTTACTAAAATAATTTTCATAGTTTTTGTTTTTAATATATTATATATAAATTATATTATAAATAATAGTTCTATTTAATTATCTTATTAATAATTTATATAGTATTTAAGATATATCTTTATTATTTGATTAATTCTTTTTATTTGATTATTTATTTATAAATGAAAAAATATTAATAACTTTTTTTTAATATTTATAAGTATTAATAAGGTAATCTAGAATTTTAAAATAAAAAGCTTATTTCGATTCAAGATTATTTTATTTGGTATTTTGTATATATTTATTATAATTTTAAGGAATATATATATTAATTATTTAATATTTTATATTTTCTTAAATAGTATTATATATACAAATTTTGTTAGTCTATCTACTATATTAAGTATTATGTTATATTTGATTTTTATAGTAGGATTTTTTAAGAATAATAATTTGACTACAAAATCCTATATAATAAACTTTTATAATTAAGAAGGTATATCTGGGGTTTGGAATTAACTATATAATATATATTATAATGATTTGTTATATATATAGGTATTATAATTTCTAATAATTTCTTTAATTATTATTTTTATTTATAAGAAATAATTGATTTTCTATATTCTTATAAATATTCTTATAATTTCTTGATATTTATATATTAGTAATTTATATTGTTTTGTTATAAATTCTTTAATCATTTGGCTTGAAATATATACTTTTCCTTGAAAGTATATAGTATCATCTTTTATAATAAATTCTAATTTTATTATCTTATATATGTATATAGCTATAATATCTTTATTATAATATAATTAGATTTTGGTTCTAAAATAATTATCTTCCAATATATAAGTAATTGCAAATTGTAATATATTATAAACTAATGATTTATTTTCTTTTTTGAATATAATATATAATTCGTATGATTTATTCTTTTGATATTCTAGTTTTCAGCTGAAAATATCTATTTTAGTATTTTCTAATCTTTTAATATATAAAATTTCAAAATTATAATTAACTATAATCTCTAACTATCTAATCTATCATCTATTTAACTATTTTATTATAATAAAATAAACTAAGTTTTTGTAATCTATATATACTTATACTATATATTTTGATCCTTCTAAATAAACTTATTATTTTCTAAATGTATTAATTATTATTAGTAATTCCTTATTATATATTTTGTAATTCAATTTAGCTAATAATAGTTTTCAAGAATAGAATGTAATTAATTATTATTTCTTATTTTGGCCTAATTAATTCAAAACTATTTCTATAGTGAAATTTGAGGAGTTTGTTTCTATTATGATTTTTTTCTCTAAATCGAAAATCAATAATATTGGCTTTTCTACCATTACTTGTTTAAGCATATTAAATAACTTTTATACCTTAATAATCTATTCAAAGTTTTCTTAATCTTTTTTGATTAATATAATCAAAAATGTAGTAATTTCTAAATAATTTTTAATAAATCTTTTATAGAAATTGATGAATTTTAGAAAAGATTGTATTTCCTTGATTATAATTGGCTGCTTTCATTCAAGCATTGCCTTAACCTTATCCTTACTTATTTTAAGCCCTTGGCTTGATATAATGAATTCCAAGAATTCTGTTTTTGTGATATGGAATTCGCATTTACTTGATTTATATAGCAAATCAACCTTAATTAAACTTTCAAAAATATTACTAATATTCTTAATATATTAAATCTTATTATTTGAATATATTAGAATATTGTTTAAATAATATATATAATAAATATTTAGGTATTGTGATAATATATTATTTATAAGTTTTATAAAAATAGTTAATATATTAATTAATCTAAATAGTATAACTTAGTATTTGTATAGTCTATATCTAATTTTGAAAACAATTTTTCATTTTTTATCTTCCTTTATTCTAATCAAATAATAACTATTATATAAATCCATTTTGATAAATATTGTTGCTTCACTTAATTAATCTTTTAATTCTATAATTAATAAAAATGAATATTAATCCTTTTTTGTAAGCATATTAAGCTTTTTATAATCTATAATTAGTTTATTAAACCTATTTTTTTTGAATATCCATATAATTGGATTGGTTATTTGGGATACAAATTCTTTAATCTATTTTTTAACTAAATTATTATTAATATATTTTCTAAGCGTTTTTAGCTTATTTACTAATATTAAATAAATTGGGGTATGTATAGGTATTTTGTTTTTTTTTAATATTATTTTATGATCCTATGGCTTATGTTCTGGTAAAGCCTTATAAATCCTTGGTTTTTTGAAAATATATTTATATTTTTTGTATTATTCTAATATTATAGACTCTTTTGTTTTAATTATGATTTCCTGCTATATTATTAATTTCTATATTTATAAAAAAGGTGTACTAGCCTTTGTTTTTAATAAAGAACCCTGGACTGGGTGTTTTATATTGTTTGTATTGTTTGTATTCAATTTTTTTTGGTGTATATTATATTTTATAAATATTTTATATATATTTTTATGATTGTTCTTATATTAATCAAATATTACTATTTTTAATAACTAATTTATTATAAGATTATATACTCTTAATCATAATATCCCTAAAATAATCTATTATTGGTCTAATAGTATAACGTCAAATTGTATAACCTTTGAATATTAGATTATATTTATTTGTATTGATTGTATCTTCTATGAAATATTCTTATTAAATCCTATTAATTATTTATTAATTAACTGCAATTAATAAGATTTCTGTTTTTATTAAAATAAAACTCCTAGATATTTTGTAGTTTCTAATGTAATAAAATTTCCTATAATCTTTGAATTTATTATAACAGCTTGTATTTATCCATTTATCTTAATTTTATAATAAATTTGTTCTATTTATTCTATGATATTTAATTATAATATAACTTATTTATTTCTATTATTCTGAATAATTTTATTAGCAAATATTATTCATTAAGATTCCTTTTTTTCTAGATATATAATATTTGTTTTTGATTTTATTCTATTATCAAATAAGTCTTTTTATAGAGTATACCAATAAATCCCCCGGATAACTTTTATTATTATACCCATAACTAATAATAATAGTATAGCCTAAGTTTGAACATAATATTCTTTTTCGATTTTTTGATATAGAAATAAGTCCTTATTTTTATTCTACTTAAATATATATTGATAGAATATTTCCTATAATTCTTCTTTATTTGGCTATTAAAAATACTTTACACTAATTCTTTTTATGAAGAATATATTTGTGGTAATCCCAAATTATAGGATTTGGTGCTAATTGATGTATTTCATCTTGTATACTTCACCTTCCTTAGCATCTATTATACTAAAATTCTTATTGATAGTTCCTTTATCTATATCCTCAAATTTCCAAATATAACGGTTTTATTAATCAATTTCCTAAATTGACCATAATTCTCCTAACTATAGGTCTTTATTTACCCATAAAAAGTATTCAGCCTCCTTTTTTTCTTCAAACTCACTTTTATAAATTAATAATAATATAATTAGCTTTATTATACTTGCGATATATAATTGTAATATAAAAATAATATTAAATTGGCTTTTACCGAACTTACCCTTAAAATTGCTTTTTTTATTTTCTGTTTTTTTGTTTTGATATTTTATTATTCAATACCCTATTTTTTATATTCAAAGTATAAATTATTTTCTTATCTTTATTTCTTTTTTAATTATTATTTCTAAATATATAATATATAATATCTAACTTTATAAAATTCTTGTATCTCTATGAATTATAATATAATCTATTCTTATTCTTATGATAATATTTTTGTTTTTGATTTTCTTAGGGTTTATATAATCTTTGATTTTGTTAATATTTATAAAAATAATTATCTGATTTAATAAAATTCTGAATTAAATCGTTTAAATTTACACTCTCAACAAATCTTTTTAATTCCAATCTGATTTCTAATTTGAGTTTTTTATAATAATAACTCATAATAACAATATTATTCTATTTAATTATTTCTGTATATCTTTAGAATTTTGTAGTATATTTTAATACTAACCCTATTTACTTGAGATTGAAATTTTATTCTTTACTATTTCTAATTTATTAAAATTTCTAAAGATTCTATAAATCTCTATCTTAAAACCTTCAAAATTGTTAAAGATTGTTCGTATGAGTTGTATACAATTCTTATTGTCATACTCGAAATAATCTTGTAAATATAATTGAATTCATTTGCTTACTTTTTCTTATAAATAGAACACAACCCATACACTCTTAAATTCTATAACTATAAACTTATCTTTATTAAATCTAAAATAGATTTCTAATTATAAAAAAAAATATTAAATTCCTATTAATTACCTTGATATTTGTTTGATAAAACTATTTTAAAAGTTTCGTTAATAGTAATCTTTTTTAGAGCATTAGCTATCTCAATATTATTAATATTTGTTACTAATATAAACTAATTTGTAATAATATTTCTAACTACCATATTTAATAATAATTTATCGAATTAATACTTGAAATAAAAAAGGTGCTCAAAGTATTATGGAAACTGTTTTTAGGGTTATATAAAAATATTTAGAGATTTTTTGAAGTAATTTAGATTAAATTTCAAATAGAAATTTAATAAGGTTATAATTGATTATAATTCTTATAACTATAATAATAAAACTAATAATTATTCTTGAATATAAAGCTCTATATTATAATGAAATCTATTTCCTTATATAGACCTTTGTTTTCTATTATCCTATTAATCCTATTTACTAGGAGTAATAAAAGTAATAGGATTCTATTAATTCTATTGATAATAATCAATAGAATCGATAAAATAACCCATTATATAACACCTTTCTTATAACTTCCAATAATATTATTACTTATCTAATCTATACTTATTAAATAACCTGTAATAGATAATTATCCTATACCTCTCATAAGATAGATATTAATAAAAATAAATACCTATCTTTCTTAATTTACTAATTATTTGCTTAATTACTCTTATTTCTAATTATTTATTAATCTTATAGTTTCTATAATATTGTTTTTGTAGGTCACAATATTAAAGCTTGTCTTTATCTTATAATTCATATTGTGGTGCGGGTATCTCCATAACATGTTGTCGTTATAGGAAAATAATTGGAAAATTATTCATATTATATAATCACTCATCGTTATTCTTTAATAGAAGGATTATTCGGGGTTTCGAATACATATTAGAGATTTTAACGTCTTATCGAATTGATAGCTTCAGTGAGACTTATCCACCAATATGTATACTTAAAAGAAATAATAACTCAAATACAGCCTTAAATTTATAGTATATTGAAATCTATTCTTGATAATACGATTTCGCAAGAGTAAGCATTATCAGATTAAGAGAGAGCTTGATTGAACTATAGAACTATGTTAATATTGATACTACTCTCACCAGTTATACATTACAAATGTCTAAGATGTCGAAATTCCACCGCAGAAACTGATTAGTTTTGATATAATTTTAAGAAAGAACCTCCACCTGGGACTGCCTTTTAATTCATTGCTTCTTATTAATATTAATATCAGGTACTTTATAGTTATAAAATAATCGTAGGGTAATCAACCCCGTAAAGGTGATGTTTTTAGCTTTTTATAGGTGTAGAGCATAATACACTTTCCTATAGTAATAAAATCTGTGGTTAATAAAGTAATTCTTTTATAATTGCTATAAATTTTATAATATCTTTATTATATATTAAATAAATTGTTTTTAAAATATTAATATAATTAATCTAAATCTTTATATCTTATAAGATTTATTCTAATTAATAAAGTTTTAATAAAATTCTTGAATTTAAAAAGCTTTTAAGTTTTAATTTAAAATAATTATTTTCAGATTAAAATATTTATATATATTCAAATTAAATTGTTTTTTGTTTATTTAGTATATTCTATATTATATAATATAATGATAAAGTTTTTAATTAAAGAATAAATTGAAAGTGAATAATAAATAATAAGAATATTTCCTTTTAAACTTTTGGTTAATATTTTCTATTTATTTTTTAGTTTTTATATTTTTTTTTTTTCTTTTCTTTAACTTTAATTTACTTTTTTAATTTCCTCTTAATTTATATACTTACTCTTTTTCATTTATTTTATCTATAATTCTAATATTCAAAGATCTCGAAATTCCTAAGGTCTCTTAGAGCTCTTATTTCCTTTTTTTTTATCAAAATTCAATAATAAATGAGTTACAAAAAGAATCAATTTGATTTATTAATAATAAAAAGCTTTATTTATTAATAATAAAAAGCTTTATTTATTATTAATAAATATATATATCAATATTATAATATACGAAATAGAAATTTATATAGGGATTTATATTGAATTTATCTTCATCCAGAATATTAACTTTGCTACCACAGGGCTTGATGATAATTCCCATATTTCAAATTCAATTCGTATTTTTCAACTCTTGATACAAGTAAAGCATTTTCGTTCTCAGTCTAGCTACGACAAGGGCCTAATAATCTAATACTGCCTGTTATAAGGGCCAATCTAGGCATGTAATACCAAACAGATCTATTACATCAGATGGGTCAAAATTATTAGTGTATAAACATCCCGAACTGATACAGAACCCAACAATCCCAAGAAATGAAAACCATTAACTTTTATCCAGGAAATGTAAACTTTACACCTCTATCTTGACTGTATATTCATTCCATTGCTGATCCTCAAAGACGTCCATGGCCACCTCATCCAACGTAACAATAACCTCCCACCCCGAGTCCCTCACTGGCATCACCACAAACATACCATCACCAAACCCACCATGTAACAATCTCATGAGTTGATATTCCCCAATCGCAGGATGCCAATCATTTGGCATTACAAATCCTTTGTACGAAGTGGAAGTTATTCCCGTCGTCTTACCATGTATCGCGCCATAATAGTTAAGTGTTTTCGGATCCTTCAAACTTCCCATTACCGCAATTGCATTATCGATAAAACCGGCATCGACATCTCTAATACCTTGACGAATTGCGGCTGCCGCGAGTGATAGCCCTTCGGGTTTCAGGAGGTTTTCCACTAACAGAAATGGTGTACCTGTGAATATGACGGCATTGCCGACGAAATCGGATGGTAAAGGTGGATGTATTGTTCTTCGAAATTCAACAGGGAATGAGTATTGAACCATGTCAGCAGGAGTGATGATGCCTGCCTTGACACGAGCTTTAATCTTCTGTCGAAAAAGGAGTGCACAAACCGCGTCATGACTACTTATGAACGGACAATCGGGTGGTAAGCCCACGGAACAATCTAATTTCAGTTGATTCACAGACTCATTCTTGAGCCTGTACATTGTCGATGAAATAGAACCTTTTACTCTTGAAGCAAAATCAAAAGCTTCATTCAAAATCAAGAAAGCCGGCATCTTCGCAATGTCCGCTACGGAGCTCGACCTCGAAAGTCGAGAGCGATCCAACGCAGCTGGGATCATCTTCACTACCGGTCCACGATTATCACAAGTATATTGTGCCAAGTCTTGTATGACCCGTGTAATAACCACACCATCCATAGCAATATGTAAAATCGATATGCATAGCAAAAGACCACCTTCGATGAAATTTGCTTGAATCTTACAACAATCCCAATTATTTTCAAAGTCCACCATCTCAACAACGGAGCTCAGCTCATCATGCTTTAAAAGCTTGGATGAGAAATTCGCATCTTCCAATTCCTTGAAAGTCAAAGGTAGTTCTTTGATGATAAGTCTTGCCTGGCCGGGTGAGAATCTCCAAGTACCCGATGCACAGCTCACGCTATTGGCTAGTACGGAATACCGCTCTACAAGCATTTCCATTGCTTTGCATAAGGCTCGAACTGCTTCCGAGATGCTATGATTGTCATTTGTTGAGAAAATCAGGACTCTTCTTGAATAAATAGCGGGTAATGCTGAGTCAACTACTGAAGGTTCTTGTGCGACTTTTAAGGACGTAAATATATACTCTTCCGAGCAGTCGTTCGGCATTGACTTCGAAAGCATGATTAGAAAGTATTGCTGATGATGATTTTATGGAAGAAATGTGATGTTGAGGCTGATTTTCTCGAGGTGTACTGAATCATGAGTAGTATGTAATGAGATGATGTGAGCTGGGACCTACTTGAACCAACAAAATATGCCTTCTGGACCCTGGCTAATCAGGAGCAGCTCATCTACGCTCGGTCCGAAGGTACGCAACAAGACGGATGACGAATATATTGTCACACGAGCTGGGCCTCAACTAGAGTAGGAGAGCTATCATTGACGGGCCGAACCGCTTGTTGATTTCTTCTGCTAATGACCTGTTATCCATTGTCCATGAGGTGAAAGTCCTTCAGCTAAGAATCTTGCAACTTCCCTATGGAGGTTCAACGTGGACCAAAACCATGCTATTAATGATTAAACTGAAGCCTCCGATGATTTTCAATACATCCCTTAACGTCTCTCAATTGTAATTCTTCCCTGCTGTTTGCAAATTTCGAGAGATTTGTAATTAATTCATCCTTATCCGGTTGTTCATCGGTCGCCGGAGCCTTTATATTGTGGAGGTATTTACCTAAGCTCAAACTTTAATTTGACTTCTGCATGCAGGGGCTTGATTAAACTCTCATATTTGTTTCGGGTTTAGCGACCAATAATCACTTGTGTATGATGCCGCCCTACTTGATGGGTGTCTTCAGATAGGTTTCAGGAGGGTCCACTGGGCTCAGAATGAGGTGAAACGGACCTAGTTCAATCATACGATTTCGGGGGATCTAGTGGGGGTTACTGTTTAAAGTTGGCCCCACTAATCGCACTCTTCGCAAACGAAGATCGGAGACCGACTGATAATTAGCTGTTGAAAGTTTGATTGATTGCCTTGGAGTGCTGCAATTCTGAATAGTATTTGTGGTATCTGTAATGCTCTTTTCAAAACTCTTCGCTGATTGCCTCTTCCATGCATATGTATCCAACAATTCGCTACAAATATATATCTATAGTTGTGATAGTTTAGAAGACCTGCCAGCTCAAGACTTATCCAGCCATGGCGTCTAAACTGGTGAATTCAATACAAGACTTCGAATGGTCAGCAGTACCAGTTCCATCTATTCAACATGGAATTTTCACCATTTGCGGCATCTTGGTATTTGTGAGTGGAAGCTTACCATTGTGCTACTTCAAATACTCTAACCTTTTCTCCGTAGACAACCATCACTATAATCCTGATGAATGGTATCTACAACCTATACTTCCATCCGTATGTACCAAGAAGAGAAATCCCAATATCTAGGGGCTTCATAGAATCATACCTGCTAACATGATTAGATAGACTAGCCAAATATCCCGGTCCCAGACTATGGGCATTTACAAACTTCCCCAACAGTATTGGCCGAATTCAAGGCCTCATGTATCTCCGCCTGAAAAGCGCGCACGAAAAATACGGCCCAATTGTCCGTTCCGCCCCCAACGAGCTGTCATTCATCACACCCGAAGCATGGACAGATATCTATGCGAAAAAGCCCGGACGACCCGAAATGCCCAAAGGAAATTATGTTCCTCAACCAGGTACAGAGAGTCTTTTCGATCATCCAGTTCACGAGGAGCATCAACGAATTCGCAAGTCTCTCCGAAATGGATTTACCGAGAAAGCGCAACGGGAACAGGAACCACGAGTTAGGCGATTTATGGATCAGTTGATGAATAATTTGAAAGAGATTGCGAAAGATGGTGGGGTCACAGATATCGCGAAATGGAATTATTTGATCGCGTATGATATTGTTGCGGATTTGTGTTTTGGGGAAAATTTTAAGGGTGTGGAGAAGGGGGAGGATCATAAATGGTCAGTATCTGCCTAGTCCGTGTGTTTCTTTATTGTGTGACTTGTTGTACTGATATGCCGGATAGGATTGGCATTGGTATAAATACGTCCACTGCTTTTACAGTTTTCCACGAATCAAAGAGAATCTGGCCCTTCAATAAAATTTTAACTTATATTCCCTATCTGACCAAGGCCGTTTTGTTACGAATGCAACATGTATTCTTCTTGAATCAGCTATTGGAAAAAAGAAGAAAGGCTAAAGATACGGAACCAGATTTGTACGTCTTCATTCAATACCCCGATGATTTAACAATGAAAGTAACCATAAGCCAGCATGACCCACGCTTTACCCTACCTCGACCGACCCGGTGGCATCAACCTCAGCGAGCTCCAAAGAAGTCTGGAAATCGTCGTGACCGCCGCCTCAGACACCACCGCCACACTTCCTATCGGAGCTATATATCATCTTTGCAAAAATCCATCCATATACGCAAAACTCAAGCACGAGATACGAAGTAGTTTCAATTCTGAAGATGAAATCCAGATAAGTAGTGTTTTCGATAAACCATATTTATTGGCGGTTCTCAAAGAAGCTTTGAGAATGCATCCTCCCGTTCCGGGAAATCATCCAAGAAGAGTCGGGAAAGAAGGTGCGACTATTGCGGGGAATTATGTCCCCCCCAATACGTTGGTTTCGTTTCCGCATTGGGCGGGGTATCATTCGGAGAGGAATTGGAATAGGCCTGGTATGTAATAATGGGGATTGATGTTCTTTCTAAGATGTTGAAGAGGATTATTGAGATACGGAGAGCTAACTCTTGCATCGCTATCAAGATGACTTCGTACCCGAACGATGGATGGGTGCGCCTGAATTCGAAACGGATAATAGAGCTTGTTTCAAGCCTTTCAGTCATGGTCCCAGAGAGTGTATGGGACAAAAGTAAGCTATTACCCTCCATATAAATCCTCAATCAAGTAAAATAACTAACCAAACCCGCTAATTAGCGTCGCACATGCCGTCACCAGAGTTTTAATGGCTCGATACATCTACAACTTTGATTTTGAATTAGCTGATCCCGAGGATGGTTTAACAGATGGTGCTAGAGTAAGACTAGTCTGGTCGCATAAGCCGTTGCTCTTAAAAATTCGTTCTGTGGGGAAGTAGGCGAGATGATATGACTTGAAGGCATAAATTAGTTCACCTTTATCTTGGTTTGCTGTTTTGAATTGTAACTATTATTACTAATAGCTTACTAAGTTGTAATAGAAGGTAATTCAGCCCAGACTATAATACTAACTATTATTCTAAGGAATTTTTTGATGGTTATCAACCCTAATACTCATTTTTGATAGAAAGCTAATAATCAGTCAAAAAGCCCTCAATCGATTACCAATCCTATAGAATTCAATATAGATCTTTTCGAAAATCTGAAAAAAGAAATAAATAGAAATTCAATTAGATTATATTTATTTGAAAACTGAATTGAATTATTTTTTAAATTGATTGATTTATATTATTAATCCTAATACTATTTATTATTATAAATATTGTTTATAGGTTTTTTTTATATAAGGAAATAATATGTAATCTGTGTATTATAAATATTATTTATAAATTAATCCTAATCTTATTAAATCTATATATATAAAACTCAAAAGTATTATAATAAAATCAAAATAATTTAGGAATTATAATATAATTGATCCCTCAAGAACTTGTTTATTTAATAGAAATAAATATTGAATTTTATATATTGATTTGTTTGTAATATTAATATATACAAAGACCTATATATTTATATAAACATTTAAATAATTAATATAAAATTCTAATCAAATTATAAAAATAATTAAAGGAGTATATTAAAGAATATCTATTTCAATATAATTATATCTGTCGGAACACGTGAGCAAACCACGTGACAAACCACGTGTTTACCCCACCTCCACCTTTCAAGCGTAAGTGGGATAAAACCATATCTAGATATATATAGCTATCTACCCCCTTCGTACGAAGGGGGTAAGCAAGAATAACAATACCATTTAATCCCCTTACATATTATGTATATACACCTTATAAAGTCCATCCAACACTGATCAGTGATTGATTAGACTCAATCACAGAACGGCAAGGTCGAACCTAATGAGAAGAGATATCTTTCTGAGAAGACGAACAAAATCGTATTAGACTTAGTTTACATACGATTTGTGTGGAAGAACTAGAATACTACGTTCCCCATACTATCTTTTCGAATTATGTGCTAAGAAGAGATCCCTGACTACAGTTGTGTTTTCTTCAGGATAGTTTGATTTATATCGATTCTATCTGCGTCCATCACGCCCTCGTACATGCTATACGACAAATACGCTCGATACAATACGACATCGAACATTATTATTCAATATGGTTTTTCCAATACCTGAATCACTTCCGTATGAAGTGGATTCTACATTCTAGGGGAAACAATTGAATCTAAGTACAGAACTCATCGAATTTCAAATAAATACTGATATAACTATGTGGCTCGTTAACTCGCAATTCAGACGATATAAAGAACAAAGATTATAGAACGAATTTCAGGAATGGTACAAAGGATGGACTGAGGCTACATTCAAAATCGCACATCACAAAGCCCTTAAACTTATCCGAATTCAACTTATCGTCCACGGATTTCAAGTCCGATAAGCTAAAGGAAATCTGAGTTATGCAAAAGTCCTTTCTGAAATCATTCCAAAGGAAACGTTCCCCGAATGTACGAAAGATATTGAAAAAGAAGCTCAAGAACTCAGTAAAGAATATGCGGATATATACGAAATCATTGTACCAAAGAAATCAACCCAAATCCAAGTATCACATATATTAGATTCTTTTAATACAATTAGATAAGATGAATAACAACAAAGAATTCAAAGCCAACCTCCTTCTGATTTTATACTATTAGATTGTTCAATAAGACAAAATACATTTAATATAGAATACGGACGAAATCTTCTCCCAGATTTGATGAAAGTATATAATAATAGTGAATTCAAATATAATGGTGAAAAATACGACTTCTTAGAGAAAAAGCTTCAAATATTTTATGAACTTTATAGAAAAATCGGAATTAATTAAAACGAATATAAATCAGCTTTTTTAACAATACTTTAAGGCTTTGTATTATTATTTTATTTTAATAAAATCAGTAATAGAAATCTGAAATTCAAAAAAATAATTATACTTATGAAAATATATTTCGAAATAAAAGAAAGATATCAGAAATATCTCATTGAATGGTGTAATACAATATTTCCATAGGTTATACGAAAATACTCTGATAAGATATTTTCGAAATAATTAGAAAAGCTTTTCGATACTCTTTGTACACTATAACATGGACTGATAGATTTATATCAATCAAAATTGATGCTAAGAGATCAAACAATAAATGCTTATCACAATATTCCTGAGTGCAATATTATACTATTACGCCCTGCTGTGTTATATAAAGGCCTTTATACTAATCTTTGAAATGCTATTGGTTAAACTGAGTGAATGCGAATAATAAATATTTATATAGTAAACTCAATAATTAATAACCTGTTTGGCATGGAAATATACTGGATGGATTGTATATATAAAGGTTGAGGCTTATATCAAACTCGAGGATAATATCAAGGTTAATCAAAGGGAAGATTCACCCCCTCTCATAACTATTTATTAGCAAATTCAATAAAAAGACCCTAATATTTCTAAATAATATTATGTATATCAATATAAAAATGCTTTATATACAAGTAATTAGGATATTGATTAATAAATTATATGAACGAGGAACAAAAGTCGAAATTCAGTTAATATATGGTAGAGTAAAAAATAAATAAAGAAATATTCGAATAATATCTCCTGAGATATAAGGATAAACCAAATCTCGAATATAAAAAGAATAAAATATTAGATAAGAATGAAAATTCTAAATATTTATAAACTAAATCTTCAAATAACCAATTAATTTAATTCAAAATATACTTTACTAAAATAGGATGTATTAATGGCATGTATATAGTAGAGCTTTTTAAAAGGCAATTCTTAATGCATATATACCTACAAAGCAATTAATTTAATTAATTATACAAAAAGATTAATGATATAAGCGAAATATTTCAATTTCAAGATTGATATTCAGCAAATATATTTCAAAGAATCATTCTAGATACAGGAGTATTAGGAATATCAATAGCAGGAGAATTTCAAGTCCAAGTATTAGAAAGGGAGAAAGGCATTATATGTACAAAAGGGGCTGAATATAATATCAAATTCGGAAAAGGCTTAATACAATTACAAGATGATATTACTGTCCAAATACCACTTGAAAGTGTTACCTTTTTCATCATACCAACAAATATTTCATTTCTTATGTATTTGTAGGATATAGATTGTTTACAGGTTATTCTTGATAATCTAGTAAATGTGCTAAAATAAGATAATAAGACAATTCCTATTATACACAAATGGGGATACTCTTTTATACTACTCGATTAAATAGAAAAAATTGTTACATACAATCATTTAACAGAAATTGAATTTTGACAAATATATCAAAGATTCGGACACCTCTTTATACAAAAACTCATCAATATACTCAATTGTGCAGGATATATAGATATCGACTCTCAAACGATTGAGAAACTCAACAAAATATATAAACATTGCCAACTTCATACAAAATCCCCTGGACAATTCAAATTCACAATTAAAGACAACATCGAATTCAATTATTCAATCATTCTGGATGTATTTTATATTAAAGGAAAACCAGTTCTTTATATTATTAATAAAGCTACTGCATATAACACTGTAGCATTCGTACGTGACATGAGCACAAAGACAATTTGAAATATAATTCGAAAATATTGGATTGATATATATTTTGGTCCATTAGATCATATGTTACACAATACTGGTACAAACTTTGCATCAATTGAATTTCAGCAAAATGCAAAAGCATTACAAATTGATATTTGTGAAGTCCCTATAGAGGCTTATAATGCAATTAGCAAAGTCGAAAGATTTCATACACTTATACAACGTGTGTACAAAATATTCAAAGAAGAATTGAAAAACGAAAACCTCGAAAAAGAAGTAATTCTGCAAATGGTAGTCAAAGTAGTAAACAATACTACAAAACCAAATAGTCTCGTCCCAACCCTTTTTGTATATAGAGCATATCCTCGTATGACCTCATACGACCCATTATCCCAATCAATTTTGAAACGAGCAGAAGTATATCGATATGTAATGAAAGAGATTCGAGAGATTCATGCAAAACGTGCAGTACAAGATTCACTTGTTATTAGGAATGGCCCAAGTATATACAAAACTCTAAACCTACCTCTAAATTCGTTAGTACAAGTATGGAGAGAAAAGAAAGGCTGGATAGGACCCTATAGATTGATTGCAATTACAAATCAAAATTGTACAGTCGATCTCCCCCATGGCCCTACAGAATTTCGTACGACAGTAGTAAAACCATTTTATAAGGATATATACGAAAAACCATCTTTAATAGAAACATTATCATCGAATTCACTCCCAATAAACTCTTCATCCCCACCAAGTCAACAATAGGAGAATAAGGAACCCAAGAAAAGACATACACGAGCTAATACAGAAAAAGAGAAAACAATTATATTTACACCTCGTACATCATTTCAAATCGAAATTCCAAGAATATTACCCCCTCAGAATATTTAAGAGATAAATAATGAATACAATCAACTTATTGCTGTAATATGAAACAATCGAAATCTATCAAAAGTTTTTATTACAAAGAAAGAGTAAGAGGCATTAGATCTTGTAATTGATCTTCGTACAAAAGGTATTATCAAAACAGAAGATCAACTATTTAAAGTTTTATAAACACAAGAAATTGATAGTCTAATTATAAGAGATATCTTCGAATTCGTTAAATATAATCCCCTCATATACACTAAAAGACTCTTCAATTTATATCTTATAAATAAAATCAAAGGACATACAACAAATTCCCTGTACGAAAAGTCACGCCTAGTTATTCAAGTATATAACAATTCCAGAAAAGAGATAATTTTGACATAAGCACCCATAATCCAAAGATTAAGCCAAAGGATTATTATAGCTTTAGCTCTAATATTAGAACTAATGGGTATCAAGCTTATAATACAAGATGTCATATAAGCATATGTATAATCAAAAATATCCCTAAATCGAATCGTACTAGTAAACTTATCAAAAGAGTTTCGAGAAAAGTATGCAAAAGATACGATCATGATAGTTAAAAAACCATTGTACAATATTGCAAAAGTAGGAATACATTGGTGGACAATGTATTGGAAATATTATCAAAAGAAACTGAATATAATCACATTATTATATGACCCCTGCTTGCTAATCTCGAATTCAAAGAATGTACAATTTGGAATTATAGGAATACAGACGGACGATACTTTTATTCTTACAGATTAGTAATTTCTGGACCTAGAAAATAAAGAATTGATACATGTAGATATCAAAGCTAAACCAGGAGAGTGCCTTATAGACGATACCTCGCTGATCTTTAATGAATGCATTATATGACATATGAACAAAGGCCTTATACTTATACAAAAAGGTTAAGAAAAGAAAATCGGAAAAATCAACAATTCAGAGTAATATTGTGAATAGAGAGTTTGAGGAGCATATATTACTATAATTTGTTAACCGGAAGTATTGTACAATCTATCAACCACTGCACAACATCAAGATCCATTGGATGAAAACATCAAATTACTTAATAAAAGATTAGATTGGCAAATGTTAAACCTAAATCGAGGATTTTGCTTTATTTTTTTTGAAAAAGATCATATAAAGCTATTTATTTTCGTTGATGGATCTTTTACCAATAACAAGGATTTAAGCAGTCAAATAGGATTCATTATTATATTTGCTAATGAGGATATATCGGATGAAAATACCTTCGAGCTAAAAGGCAATATTATTTATTATAATAATACAAAAAGCAAAAGAGTTATACACAGTGTACTAGCATCTGAAATATATGGAATAATAGCAGAAGTAGATATTGGTCTTGTAATACAATCTATTTTACAAATCATTACCTCGCAACTTGATATTCCTGATATTCTAGTTATTGTATGTATAAATTCATATTCTTTGTATGAATACCTTATTAAATTAAATATTACGAAAGAGAAAAGACTAATGATCGATATTATGGCACTTCGTTAATTATACAAATGAAGAAAATTGACAAAAGTGAGATGGATCAATGGACTTAATAATATTACAAATGCAATAACGAAGGCAAATCCGAATAAAGTATTAGAAAAGTTTGTTAACACCAATACACTTGTTGTACATATAGAGGGATGGGTGAAACGAGAGATTTGTACAAAGATCAACTAGACCTACGTATAAACTAAAGTGACAATTGGGATATGGCGTTAATGATATTTCGTTTTTTTTTTCTTATTATTTTATATTGTTTTGAAGAAGTTTTCAATAAATACTTCTATTTCCATTTCTTATTCTACAAAAGACAAAAATATCCCAAATATTGTACAAAGCAAAAGATGTGTACGAATCAATTAACAACAAGAGGCTCATCTGTGGAACCAAAACCAAGCAAAAAAGGCTTTTTCGCTGAAGAAGAAGGAGTAGGACTCCGATCAGGAGAAAAACGAGGAGGAGGCAAAGGATTGCATCTACCGCCAACAGGACCAGCATGTGGACAATCGGATTGTACACACCGAATTCCATGATCTCTTTATTTGCAATTCCTATAGCTATTGCCAAAATAACCCTGTACGCAACAACAATCCAGAAAAGACGATAATCTGCAACAACGATATTCTCCATAAAACCTTTCAATAAAAACCCCCCAACTTTGTATTAATAGGTTATTTATATATGAAGCCCGTATTGATCTGATTTGGGCAGGTGTAATCCGATTACGAACGAAAGGAACGGGATTTCCCGGCATAGTCAAAAGAGCGAGCTGAAGAGCATTGTGACAATAAGGAGCTAGCTCCCTCCCATCAATCGGAAGAACGAGATTCTGATTATGCTGTGCTGCTGCATTTGCTGCATTGTACAATTGGAGAGCTCTATTCGTACGAAGGTTAGCATGTTATGTACAATGCTAGTCTTGTAGTAAGTATGGGGTAAATTTCGATACAAGTGATTGCTTTCTCGGCAGTGGTAAGACATATATTTCAATTGATTGGTAAAATTCGATTTTTCTATAGTTTCAAAGGTGTTAGCATTGATTCGAAACCTGGCACATTATCCGAAATGGCTGAAGATCATCTACGATATAAAACCTTAATGGATTTAATGGATTTTGATGGGTTTTAGTACGGCGTTTTGATTGATTTGAATCAGATTCTCTATACTCATTTGATAAATCTATGGGTATAAGGTTTGGACTAACTGACATGATGACTGCCTGTCACGAGTTCCAAATTGATAATAGGATTCGTACGAACGCACTTCGTACGAAAAAGAAAAAGTAAAGCCTGTGTCGGAACACGTGAGCAAACCACGTGACAAACCACGTGTTTACCCCACCTCCACCTTTCAAGCGTAAGTGGGATAAAACCATATCTAGATATATATAGCTATCTACCCCCTTCGTACGAAGGGGGTAAGCAAGAATAACAATACCATTTAATCCCCTTACATATTATGTATATACACCTTATAAAGTCCATCCAACAATATCAATATATAGTTATTTAATAATAGTTTAGCTTTTTAGTTTATTATTTTTGTTTTAAATGGGTATCAATATTATAGTTGCTAATTCAAAATCTATAGATAGAATATTACTAAGTAGTATTATAACAAAATTTATAATTAAAAGAGAATAGTAAATAAGAAAATATTTCAATTAATTAAATTACAATATTGATTTGAAATAAAGAGAAAAAAGTTTTGGATTGTTAATGAAATTAAAAGACAAAAATAGAAGTATTAAGTAAATTGAACTATGATATATAACATAAAAAAAGAAATCGATAATTTAGATAATAATAATAATAATAATAAGAAAAGCGAAAATAATTAGGATAATATTAAAAATTAGATTATTTAAAATATCGAAAAATAAAAAGGCAAGATATAAAAGTGGCAATTGTAAATATTAAAAGAGGTGCTTGTTGTTGAAATCGATTTGTAATTATAGTATATCAAATAGAATAAAATATTAAGTTAATTCAAATATAATTTAATTGAAATATTCTATTATATTTATATACCTAATCCAGAAAAGCTACAATTAAAGTAATTATTGTATATATAAAATCAAATTTTAAAACATTATTTGAATATATTGGAAGTGATAAATTATAAGGATATATTGAAATAGTAAGTATTTCCTAAAAATAAAACTGTGGATTAATATCTATTTGAAATATTATAAAATATTAAAAGTATTAATAAATATAGTTGGATTTTTGTATATTTTATTTGTTATATAATATATATAGTGTTATTAGAGAATTATATAAATAAAACAAATATATTAAAATTGTTTTTAAAGATTTAAATATTATTATTCAACTATTATATCAAATTTGATTATGATTATAAAAACTGAAATGAAATATATTAATATGTAATAGAAATGTATTCAAAGAATTCGGAACAAATTAAATAAAAATATCCTTACAGATAATGAGACCAAAGATTGATTATTGATTAATATATTAATGTATTTATATATATTAATAGTAATATAGGATATTAGCCAAATTAGATTATATTATTTATTTATAATATATTATTTAGTAATTCAAAAAGTTAATAAATAAAGTCAATTATTATAATCTATATTTTATTATATATTTATCAATTTTAGTGATTCAAATAGGGATTCTTATACATCACACCTGCGAGCTTAGATCGTACTAAGCCGTATCTTCTGACTATATAAGCTTTAGTATTAGATATAGCTATAATTGTTGTTAGTGGTGTGAGCACTATGGCAATTATTCCTATAAGAGTACCGATTGCAACCAATCCCCAATACACCCACAACCGATCACTATTCTCACCCTTACCATTCAATTACAGTAGTACAAGCGTTTATAACGTAGGAGCTACGAGAGCTGCTATATCAAGCTTGTTGGCAACAAGAAGATTTTTTATTACAGTTTAACTTAATACTTTTGATAAGCAAACGCAACTTAAACATAAGATTTATAAAATATTTGAAGTAATGCTTTATTAATTTGAAATTAATAGTATATTAAAAAAAGCAGTTTTTAATAAAGAAGTATGTAATATAGTAATAAATAATATTAAAATTAGATTATCACAAAATAAGATACAATCTATAGCTGAAAATAAGAATAGTAATAATCTAAACCGCACTTATACGGATATCACAAAAACCCCGAAAAATTCGAGTGTGTTTACAAATACAATTGTGTGTATGTAAGGGTAGGCCAATAAGTGGAGATTGGTTAAACTCCGGAAAATTAAAGTGGATACCTGTCTACTAGCAGCAGGAATTGCTACACTAACAATAAGCCACCCGAATACCTATATATTAAGAAAAATGATTAATAAGGTTATTCCTAATTTGAAAAATATTAATATTATAACTATTATTCTTACAACTACTAAATAGGTAATACACATTGTTAATAGTATTATATATAATAAACTTTTTGAAGCCGAGAATGCGGAAAAAATTAAAAAGATTTTAAATTATAATAATCTGAAACAATCTATAATCTGGTATTGCTATATGCTAGAGGGGGTTCCAATCTCTCTTTATAGTTTAAATGGAGATAGAATACTAGTTATTAAGGAAATAGTAGCTAAAAAAATATCAATATAAATAGGTACCCCTTTAATCGATTATCAAATTATTATTCGAATAGCTGATTTTTATGAGTAGATCTAGATTATTAATCTACCGAGAAAAGTTTTTTCTTTTAAGCTTTTTGATTATATTAAATGGGTTTAGTATATTAAGTTAAAGTAGTATATTATTTATTATAATTCAGAATACTAGGGTTTTTATAATTTAGTGATATGTAAGAGTATTCTAAGATGTAATAATTGCGGTGTGCTATAAACGAATTATATAGGCCCTTTTGAGTCAGAGTGTATTGCTAGAACTGAATGTACCAATTGTATAGGATTGTATCTGACTGGGCATAGTGTTTACTTTATAGTGTTATGCCAAATCAATAAAAGAATTATATATTTTATAAAATCCGAGGTTTACGAGATTAAGAAATATAGTTGAAAAATTTGGTTAATAGCTGAATTTATAATTAACAAGATTACTATTTTTACTTTGATTGTGTAATAAAATATTACTATAAAAATATTCTTTTCTATTTATAGAGAATATATTATTATTTATAAAAACCTAAACAATTTTCAATATACTCCCTAAAACTTCTTTTTACCTAATAATTTATTTGATAATTTTAATTACTTTAAAAGGAAGTACTCAAACGAAGGTAGTTTAAATAAAAAAGTATTCTTTAATGTTGTTTTATTGTAGTATACTGGTATGGATATTGATATTGATTTGAATGAATAACTATTTCTCTTGATATTATGATACTAGCTACTAAATGGCTGTAGTCTGATCTATATGAATTGGTTGGGTGAATGTATAGAAGAAGACAGGAGTATATATTGTAATATTGCAAATGGTATATGAACAAGATTTGGAGGTTTTATGTATATAGAAATCCTTTATATATCTTAAATCTCAAACCCAGAACTATCCGGGGTATAATCTTTTTGTGTTAATAAACAATTGGGATAGTCTAAATGGCTTCGAAAGAGAAAGTGAGAGATTAAGAATAATAATGTATATATATAAAAGCAAGTGGCTTTATACTTAACAAAAATATGTTCAATCATACTAGAATCTTTTTTAAATAGAAATGAATGGTGTATAAATTATTAATATATATTAATAATTGGGTATTAAGGAGATAGTAAACTTAATAGTTTCTATAGCATTCCCTAATTACATAATAGTAAATAACAATTTTAATATCAAATATAATCTATTTAAATTTAGTATAACTTTAGCTAACTAAAAAGCTCTCCTTACAGAATAATCCCTTTCAAATGAAATAAACTTTATTAGGACCCTAAAAATCTTTATTTATAAAGCAAATCATATAATCAATTTGACCTTCTCTAATATCCCCTTCACTAATATTATTATTAATAATAATTTGAAAAGCGGCTTCAATCACAAAATACAAATAATTATAATTCTAAATCTTATTTTATCTATTACCAAATCCTTTGATTATATAATCAGCAAGAAAAGTCTTTCAATTTTTCAGGGGATTATAAAGAATAGGATTCCTCACTTTTCAAATCCAATAAATATATCTATTAAGTAGGTTAATAAATTAATAAGAATACTAGATTTTTTATTTAAATCAACAATTCGCTTAGCAAAAAAGGAAAAAGATACCTCTAATCACTCTACCCCTTAATAAACAAATGAATATAGAATAGCATATCAAAATTATAGAACAATTAGAACTAAAAACACCAACCAAGCAGAATACTAACAACGAAAATTGATAATTATAATCAGAAAAGCGAAATACCAATACTAATATAATATTATTAATAAAATAAACTATAATAAAGATTTATACAAAGTAATCAGCTAACACAAATGTTGGTTTGAGAAGGATACGGAAGACGTAGTACCTACGAATGTAGGTCCTAAATGTCTATGTTGTATTCTGTCTAAAGAGCTAGCTATGTACAGGAAGTAGTAGGTCTTATATAGACCTACTGAAAGAGCTAGTCTCTTTCGCTTTCGCTTAGGGCTTGTAATACAGTAGCTAATGAATTGAAACTATTCACTGTATGATCAACATTCATACAACAAACTTGTTGTCAACCTTAAAGTATCATCTCTGATTATTAATAATATAATAATTAAAAATATTACTAAAAAGGTTTAGATTCTACAAAAGAAGATTTTCAAACACTTTGATAATAGTAATGATTTTATAATGAACCTACTCCAACCAAGCCATATACCCAATAAATTCCTATAATATACAAAAATATTCTTCGAAAAAATAGAAAAAAATATTATAGAAATTTCAAGTATCTTACTAAAATCTGATTAGATTATTATCTATTTTCTAAAAGTTTATTAAAACTTTATTAAATTAGTAATTGCTAGGATTTTCAATTGATATCTATAACTAAATTATTTCCCAAATAAATAAAAACATATAAAAATAATAATAATTTCTAAGATTAAAAAAAAAAATAAATCGTTAGTACAATCCTAACAACCAATAACTCTATTTTTATACATCTCAAAGAATCTGGAATATATAATTACTTAATGTATCTTATAAATTATAATGATAATAGATATATTCAACCCCCAACACAGAGGAGTGCTCCCCAAGCGAATAATAATAGATCTAATTATTTTGTTTGTACATAATATTAAAGAAACCTTTATTCATAAATAAGAAATTATAATGGTTACATTGAATATACAAGGTGTGTTTAATATATTTCTACTAAATAGATTATTAAAATATATATATTAATAAAAATAATCCCACTCCCTCCTGTAATTAGTTCAAGCCTTTTTGAGTAATTGTTTAATAAAAGTTCAATTAGAAAATGTAATTATGGAGTATAATCACATTAAATACAGCACTCCATAAGGCTTTTTGTTTTTATTTATATTATACATTCTATATCTCACTAAGCTTTTGAATTAAAATATTAAGCTATGCTTTAGATATACTAACAATATTTGTATCTATTGTGTATTTAAGAATGTACATAAAAATATTAATTTCCTTAAATATAATTTTCATTAAATCTTTTAATGGAATAAACAAAATTATATAATATTTATACTAGAAAAACTAGAAATAATATACCTTTTTTAAAGAAAAGAGGTGTATACTCTATATTTGAAGGTAAATAATAAGATAATAATTTGTTTAATCAGTGAAACAGATAATAAAGCTATTTAGCCAGTCCTATACTAATTAGGAGTCTAATTTGATCAGAAACTCTCCTTCAAAAGACATATAGCTAAATAAGAAATAAAAGCTTGCAAAATCGCAAGGCATATTAAAAGGCTTGTGCAGATATGTTACAGCCCATCAGCTGTAGTACTACACAAAGTAGTAATTATTTGTGTTTTATTTTTTGTTCTTTATAGATTTGAGGTATAATACACAAACCGAATAAAACCAAATCAGGCAGGGAGGGTTGTTTGTAATATAATAATAAGTATAAGACTGGGTAATTATATTATTAAGATTAATTGAGTGATTATTTTAATTACAAAAAAAATTCTACTCATTTAATATATAATTTCAATTATTATAATTCTAAAAGATTCTGGATTATTGTTTAATGAGTTAGCACTTGAATAAACATAAATAAGATTCGTATTCCAACTCCATAAGGTAAACGAAAACTATTTATTGGTGATTTATCTAACGCAAACATCTCAATGTAGAATGGATAATATTAATCTCCATAGATTAACTAGATTAATCCTAAAAGTATTGAGATTAGTAATCTCTCTGCTACACTTTTTTGTAGGGAGTTATATCAACCCTATAGGAGATGTAAAAAAAAAAGTAGTTATACATAAATTCATGTAATAATGAAATAGTTTGCTTGATAGCCATATTATAATCTTTTTGGATAACATTGAATAATATTATTAAGAATAAAAGATAATTGGTTACAATTACACGATCTATTGGGAACAATTTCTAATAATATTTGAATATAAAATAATCAATCTACTCTTGTATGTTTTCGATGTTGAGGTAATAGATGCTTTAAAAGGATTGGAGTATGTTATTTAACTAAAGCTGGCTGGGTAGATTATTATATACATCAATAGCATCTTAATTATCTAATATATTAGAAGTAATACCTCTGATTTATTTTAATAAACGTTTTTATATTGTTATAAGATTATGAGGAATAGATAAATAATGATTCAATGATCGTTTGGATATACTAAAATCCTTAGAAACAAAAAGACTAATTAGCTTACTAATCTAGGTACTTATAATAGTTGTATTGAAAATAATAACTCATTGCTTTTTATTATTAATAATATAAGCTCAACAATCAGAACCCTTAAACAAAAAA